GGCGGCGCGGGGGCCGGGGCGCGGAGATCCCGGCCAGCGGGGGTGCGAGCACCGCGTCGCGCCCCGGGCCACGAGTGTTCCCCGAGAGTTGGGGGCTGCATTCTGCCTGGGGGACCGCAAGGAGGACGAGGGGAGGGCCCAGAGACTTTAGAGGAAGGAGTGGGGGCAGCCCTGGGGTACAAAGGGCCGAGCGGGCCATCCTCTTTTGTGCCCCCGCAGAGGCCGCGGTCATTTGGGTTTGTGCGTCTTTAGAGCGCGTTAGGCTTCCTAGCCCAGCCCAGGGTGGTAGCAGGGGGAGGGGGGGCCCGAGGCCTGGGGATCGGACCCAGGGTCTCCCCGGCTGGCAGGGCCTTCGCAGGCTTTCCGAAAGTCAGGGAGCGAGAGGGCGCTGCGGACACCCCGTCTGGGATGGGGCCCGTGCGCGCAGAGGCCAAGAGCTCTAAGCCGAGGCACTGAAAACAGCCACCACTCCTGGCGCGCCCGGCCGGGTAACCACCGCCGTCAGCCGGCCCGGCGCCCGCCCATTAGGTAGATGGGGAGGTTGAGGCGGGAGAGGGGAAGCGGGCAGGACGAGGAAGTCCGGCGGGAGGTGGCCGCAGAGGCCTGTCCCGGCGCCTCCCGCCGGAGGAGCAGCCTTACTTCTGCGTGCTCGGAGGCTGAGGTCATGGAGGAAATCGCAGGCGGGCCTGGAACCGCTGCCAGGGCTCCGAGGCTGCCCCTTGGGCCCGAACTCACCCAGGAGGCAAGGGCAGGGGGCCGGCCGCCGCTGCCCCCACCTTGAATGGCCTCACTGAGACCTCCGACCCCAGGCCAAAACCTAGAGCGGTGCCCTGTGCTAATCCCATTAGCCTGGAGGTGGGGAGCTGCGCCCCCATTCACTGCTTGGGTGTGGCCGGATTACAAATTCTTCAATCCATCTCCCCTGCCCCCCCCTTTTTATTGGGTGCAGGTGCTAAATTTTCTCTTTCAACGCCCTCATCCTCTTGGCTGTCAGCTCCTTAGATCTGGCCAGCGTTATCAGCCCCATCTTTGTTTATTTTTGTACTGGGAAGCCCGGAGAGGCTGAGCCATTTGCCCGGGGTCACACAGCAAGGGAGTGAAAGGCCATCCCTGTTACCTCTGGACTCCAATCCACTCTGGACTCCAGCGTGGGTGGGGTCCCGGTTGATCCATGGAGCCTCCTAGGCAGAGGGAGCTGCCCTGGGAGCCAGTGCACCAAGCCTCAGGGGACCCTGGCTGCCAGGGTGCTGGCACCCCATCCTGGTGGGTATTGACAGGAGGGTTGCTGTGAGTGAGGGTCTCCAGGAAGATTTGCCTTCTGCATCATGGGTTTCGGTCAAGGAATTTGGCTTTCTCCTCTGCGGAGGAAGGGGAGGTGAAATCCAGAATAAATGGGATTTGAGATGAAGGGTGGAGGTTACCTTTCCGGTAACCTTGAGTATTGATTTGTATGTGAGCTTTAAATGTTCACAGCCCTCGGTGAAATGGACAGGTACATGACAGTCACCCGGTAGGCTTGCCCCTCTGCCCTTTGGTTAGGAGGGTGGGACTCAGCCCTTCCAAGTTGCGGTTCAAGAGCTATTAGAGTTTTGTACTTGGATGTTGAGTCTCCCTGTCCCCAGGAGGCTATGTGAATGGGGGGTGGGAACCCGGGGTCAGGATGGGAGGCCTTGCACTTTGGACTGGGCGGTGGACAATAGGGGGCCACAGCCTTCTCCAGGGCCCACCAGCTCTATCTGTGGAATTCAGCCCCGCAGCCTGCTGGGATTGATTTAAAAAGGTTAATCAGTGTGGGCTGGCTGGTGGAGTGATGTGATCCCGAAGATAAGGGAGGTTTGCTGGGTGCTTCCTCCTCTGGCCTTGGGGGAGGCTCTGGAATCTGGAAGAGCCTCCTGGTTCTTTAGCACTTTCTCTCCTGGCTTGTTCATTTACTCAGCAAATCATTTCCAAGTGCCTCCTGCGTGCCAGGCACTGCTCTGGCCCTGGGAATCCAGCAACGACCAAACAGACAGAAATCTTTGCCTCCATTGGAGCTCAAGTCCTAGCGTGGGGCCAGGCAGTAAACACAGATGGGGGAAGGAAATCATTTTCAATAGAGATACAGGCTGTGAAGGACAGAGAAGACCAGGGTCTGTTTTGGCGGGAGTGGTGAGGGGCTGCAGGCTGGGGAATTGCCGGCTGGGGTGGGGGGGGCTGGGATGGAGCTGGGAGGAGGGTGGGACCTATAATGAGGTCTTGGAATTTCAAGCTGTGAGACATAAGGCAGTGGAGGGTTTTAAATGGAGTGACTCAGATTGAGGGACATTTTACAGAACTGGTCTGGACTCTTAAAAAATGTCAGTGGCATGCAAGACAAAGGAAGGCCAAGAACTGGTCCTGATTACAAGAGACTAAAAAAATGTGACAGCAAATGTCAATGTATGGCCCTCGATTGCATCTTGGATCAGGGAAAAAAAATTGCTCTAAAGGATATCATTGGGGCATTTGATGAAATTGGAATATGGACTGTAGATTAGCCGATAGGATCAAATCAATATTATGTTTGGTGAAGTTGATAACTGTACCGTGGTTATGTAAGGGAACGTCCTTGCTCTTAGGAAGTGAGAACATTGACATGTTTAGGGGCAGGGGATGTGATGTCTACAGCTTGCTCAGGAATGGCTCAGGAAGAGTAAAAAACAATAGCTATAATTCACGTACTCTATGGGAGACAATGAAACATCAGACGACATCAAGTAACACTCAGGGCGAGACAGCCGCTCACAATTGCCGGACCTGGGGAAGGTCATCTGGAAGTTCACTGTACTATTTCAAACTTTCCTCTGAGTTTGAAATTATTTCACAATGAGCATTTCACAAAATGAGTGTGGATTGCTGGCTAAAGACTTATCTGGTAGATGGGGAGAGAGGCAGGTGACCAGTCCGTGGCTCAGGGAGGTGACAGCCCCAGGGAGGGAGGGTGCAGGTGGCTAGGGTTTGGTTCCTTGTTGGGGCTGTGTTGCTAAGAGATGTGGAAGGGCAGAGAAGGGGGACAACACCTGGATTTTTTTTTCGTTGTTTTTTAATTCTTACCTGAGGATATTTTTTTCCATTGTTTTTTTTTTTAGAGAGAGTGGAGGGGGCGGGGAGGAAAACATCCATGTAAGAGAGATACATCGATTAGTTGCCTCCCTCAGGTGCCCCAGCCGGGGCTGGATCGAGCCTGCAACCGAGGTACATGCCCTTGACAGGGAATCGAACCCGAGACCCTGGCCAGGGTAACACCTGGATTTTTGGGAAGTGCTACTTGTGGAGCAGTGGGGAGGGCCAGATTTGGAGAGAGGATGGTGATTGGGTGTTCTTGGTTTGGAGGTGGCCAGCTTGGGATGCTCTTGGCTTCTGGCATGGACCTGTCTGTGGTCTGATCTGATCTAACTCCCCCCTGGTCACATGTGGCCCTGTCTTCCACCCAGACTGCAGCCCATCACTGTGACACTCCTGTCCTTTACGTCTCAGTCTGGCTTTTGAGAGGCCCGGTGGGAGCTGCTGTCAGGACAGGGCTTAGGGCTCCCCAGGGACTGCTGGGAGTCCTGGCCACCAGTCAGTCTTGGCCCCCAGGGCTAGGGTCCTTACCATACCAACTGTCCACAGAGTCCTGGCTTCTAACTTTGGAGGAAGTCAGAACCATGAGGTAGGAACCACTAGAGCTCCT